TATCCCTTCTCTTTGACAGAGCCAAGAGTGGGGGAAAAAACTGCCTGAAAACAAATGTTTGTGGCCATTTTTAATATGAGCATCCGCCACTGTAAAAGCATATCCATCCATCCATTCACTTCTGCTTATCCTTTTCAGGGTTGTGGTGGGTGCTGGAGCCTATCCCAGCTGTTTTAGGGCGAGAGGCAGGGTACACCCTGGACAGGTCTCCAGTCTGTCGCAGGGCTAACACGTAGACCCAAGGCTAACACATGTGTTAGCCCTGTAAAAGCATATATGACAAAAAATAAAAGCATAACGGGTCTCCTTTTTATTTCTTCTTCTGGGTGTCTACCAAATGTCTTCTTGAAGCTGTTACCGGTGCTCCTGCTTTCAATTGAAAAATATCAGAAAACACAACTTCCTATTATTTGTAACAAATTCCTATTATGTTACAAAAATGTTTCGCTTTTGCCTCGGGGTTAATGCACTCCTTCTGAACTTGTGTCTGTACTGGGTCTAGCCTGTTTGAGGCTGCCTCAAGGAATGCTTGAAGACAGTCATGCATGGTTCCCCTGGTAAAGCTCGCCTGTGCGCTGCTCTTTAAGTTACCAAGACGTATGCATCTGAAACCAGCCGATGAGACATTTTAAACAGGATTCCCTTGTAAGAATAAAACACATTGTGTGAGAACAATTCTGACAAAGCACAAAGCCCAACTTGCTGGCTCAACGCTTTTGAAGTGTGGTGTCAACTCTGACAGGCGACAATAAGGGTGGGATTAAATCTGTACTTTCAGCGACTTAAATCAGTACTTGTGATTTTACAAGCGCCGGGACACCACACATGAAGAAGAACTGACTGATTTGGCAAACGTACAGGACATTTGGTTATAGCAGCGCACGTGTCCTCTCTGAGCTCTTTCGATTCAAACCATCCGGGGCTGTCTACTGTGCAGTGGATGAAACATTCCTGAACAGGGTTACACTGGGCCAGGGTCTGTGATTAAAAACAAAAATCACTCTGTAGCACCACTGATAATCACTGATTTGTGTGTTTTTGTAGATGAATCGGATAGACTGGTGTAGTCTTCTATCAAGTTTTAAGCTTATCAAGTAACTCTTCTTTTTTGTATTTATAATGTAAGATTGGTTTAGTTTTCAGCATTTCTGAATAGCTGATAAATTCCCATCAAACTCTACCTCCTAATGACACTTACAGAACAAAACTAGGATTAGTCTTTTTCCCCCTCTTCTTTCAGACCACACAGAGAGGAACCATATCTCGTTGCTCTTCTTCAACTTTAACGTGATGCAAACGCACACAGTGATGCATGCTATTACATAAGCGCTAGGTGTTCTCTGGCAGGACAAGCTGTTCCGGAGGAAGGCTGAGTAAGGTTTGAGGGGGAACTGAAGTCAGGTTGCAGACAGGCAGGAGTGTAGCTTTGGCTTTTTGCATTACTGAGCAGATTGTCTTTAAAGCAGCCCTGTGATGGATGGGCCTCGTATCACTCACACTCAGATCTGTAATCTGGGTCTGCTGCCTTTCTCTCTGTGTGGGGAATTATATGATGCACTAAGCGTTATTACCAGCTTGTGAGGATGTGGCAAGCTGTCCGCACTTATATAAAATTGTCCTCAGGATACCAAAATTATTGGTGGTGGTGGTGGTGAGGAGCTCGCAGCCAAATTAAACTGCCTGGCTGATGTGGCTCCAAACCCACAAGTTTCATCTTTTAATTATAAATCATGTTTAAGAAATTTGAATTTAAACTTAAGATAACCATTCCCCACTGTAATGTCATTAAGGTCACTGTGTGAAGTAGCCTAATGTTCTGTAAAGCAATTTTTCTTTAATAAAATAATCCTCAGCTGTCATGTATGTGTGTGGATATAGCCTCACTGTGTGTCCCTGCATGGACGACTGTGTTGAGGTAATCCTGATTCACCTCAGGAGACTCGAGTCATCTTCTTTCAAACAAAAACAGCTTTATTACAGCTGAACAACTGCTGTGCGGCTCATCGATGACACAACTTTTGAGCAGGCATGCCTGTATTTGTGCGTTCAATTATGCATGTGGGGAGAATTGGCAAGCTGCAGGATGTGTGAAAGCAAGGATGCATAAGCGCGTGCCACGTGGCATCGGATCTGGTAAGCCAAGTCAAGGGGCCGCTGCTGGGGCCTGTGTGTGTATTCTCAGCTGTTGGGTAAGGGGCGAAGCTGGGGCTGTGTGTGTGTGTGTTTTCAGCGTTTTCATCTGCAGTCATGCCGCCCCAAACTACCCCACTAATCCGGGCAGATCTGAGAGCCGGCACGCAGGGGACTCACGCGACGCACTCATATGACACATGTTGTCTCGCACGCACTCACTCATACGTTCACCGTCCGAGGCATGCGCGGCTTCCTGTCAGCTGTCTCACACCGCCACCTCCAACTTCATTTGTACCCTCCTCCACCTTTTTCCATTTTGATCCGTATCCAGAAATGCTTCGTAAAAGTCAGGCTGTACCTGAATAACTGTCCGATAGGAATGTTCAGTATTGCAAAAATCTCAGCTACACATATCCTGAACGGCTACATAGCTCTGATAGCTAAATCTATCTTGTGATGACTGTGAGATTACAGGCTTTTCTAGGTGTATTTGACTTTTTAAACAGTTGGTTCTTTTTGGTTCACCAGGAGAGGCATTAGTTCATCCTATGATGGACCATTTATCTTGGCTAAAGCATCCGATTTTTTTTTTTTTTCCAGCTGCTTTAGTTCCTGCAGGAATGTGAACGCCCTGACTTGATAGCGTGGAGGGCCTACCTATCTTATTGTCTAAATATGGCTTCTGATTTGCTTGTATTTCTCTGGTGTGGTTCTCTTTGCGTCTCCACACTTCATGGAGAACTTAGCATCTCTGTGTGATGAGATATTTGACGCTGCTGTTCAAAAATGCGCACGTGTGTGTGCACTGACATTCACTTCAGAGAAGCATAAGCATGTGATGTTTTAACAACTTTCTATCACTTATTTCTAGCTGTTGAGTGGTGAGGTGAGGTCAGTGAGTCAGATGTGAGACACAGCAGTTATCTGTACCTGCAAGTTACAGAACGTCATCGACTGTGGTTATTGAGAAATGTTCTAACCCAGATTCTGCCTGTTCTTTTAGTCCTCCTTTACCACAGTCACCACAAAGTGAGCAATGCTTGCAGATACGGCTATTTGCTAACTAGGTCGGTCCATTTACACGATGTTTATCACTGAATAGTGCTCATGTGATGACTTTTAATATGAATATCAGCACCCATGTCTGCGTTTTTAGATCTGAAATCTTTTATTCATGGGTACGACCATCATTTCTGTCTGTAACTTTAGCAACACACCTGCTTGACTATCTGCAATATGACAACCCAAACTATAAAAATCAAGTTGTAATTAACTGGAATTGCTGTTTAATCTCATGTCTGTTCACTACAGTACAAAAGGCCATTCTCTCATTAACTTCACTGCTCTTTTTCTCGCTGTAGTCTCTATTTAAATCTTCTCTGGTTGAAGCTGTGTCTGGGTACAGTGACCATGAGTGCATCGGAGGAAGGGAGGAGTCTATGCTGGTGGTGGCAGAGGACAGAAACGACAGAGCTGGGGAGAGGAAAATGAGAAGAAGACCCTGGCTTATGGGGCTGTTTAATCTCTGCAGGACCGTCAGATGGCTTTGACAGAGCACAGGCACCAATTAGGCTGCAAGATTAGGGGGCTTTGTACTTCTGAAAAGCTTCTGGATGGACCTTTTTTATTTTTCCTTCCTGCCTCGCCTTTATATCTTCACCGGGACTCCTCACCCTTCCTTAACCCTACCGCTCACTCCCTTCCTCCCCCCTTTCTGTCCTCCTGCAGCTCTGCGATCTGCTCCTTAAAATCTGCGATTATATCTGGCTAGACATTGAGAGGAGGGGATTAATAAGGCAGCTTGTCAGTGTGGGTTGACAGGGCTGCACTGTGAATTAGCAGACCAAAGAGGGGGCACGTTGAATGTTTACTGGGGTCTTCAGTGTCCACTGATCTGGATATGGAGCCAACTTTCAAAGAGTTCAGGTCCCATCTGCACAATGTAAGGGTACAGCGCCAAGCCTGGGAACATTGTACTTAAATCTGAGTCTATTTTGTCCTCTTAAACTCCTTTCTTTATTGATGTATTGTTTTTGTGCATATTATTGCCTAAAATAGGCTCATGTAATGGGTATGGCATCTACCGCTTGCCTTCTATAGTTGTTTACATATCAGCTAGTCTGTCTAGCTTGTGCTCAAATCACTGCTGTGCACATACACACATATTTACACACACTTGCACAGACACACTGCTCCTCATGAGTACATGGAAACAATGACAGGAAGTACATTAGCGGGACTTCCATTGTATCTCCCCATACATTCACGCTTCCTGAGCCGGGTGTGGGTGATGGTGAGAGGGACACAGGGTGGAGTGAGGAGGTGTACACGGAGAGCTCCCCCAGCGCTTCGCCGCCCATTGTTGACATGGGGTGGGTGTATATATCTGGGCCAGGAGATCCTTTAATCCTGCAGCCTTCTGCTGCATGTTGCATCAGCTATGGAGCTTCTTGAGCTCTCTGGCCTGGAAGTGTTGCGGTTGCTGACCTGCGGTCAGTTTTGTTGCTTCACCTCTGGGGATAACAGTAAGGATTAGGTCAGGGCAAGCTGGTCCTATGTCAGCACACGTGCTGTAAAACTGACTTTAACTCAATTAGTTGTCATGCCGCTGAGGGACAGATGGTGGGAAGGTGGGAGTCACCAAACCGCAGGAATGCCCACAACAGCTTCTGTGGTCATTTTAATTGTAACTGAAACAATAGTCAGGCAGGGAGCTGTTTATTCCAAGTGTGTGTGACTGTTTTGCCCTTTTTACTTTGACTGAGTCATTTAAATTGTTTTTGTATTTTAATGCAGACACTTTATGTCCTTGGCAGTTATTTTGTTCTGACTTTCTCTTTTCCCCCTCTTTTGCTTTCTGTGTTTAGGTTTGTCACCACCCAGACTGTCAAGACCTGAATAGCAAAAGCCCCCTCCACCTGTGTGAGTCATGTGACTCACGCTGCCATTCAGAGAATTCAGACAACATGCACTTTGACCGGCACCCCCGATTTGACTTGCAACCTCAAGGTAGACTTGCATGATTTCTTTATTTGGTATCCCTCCCTGAGCAGGATGACGCTGCAGGATGACGCTGCAGGCCATCGCTGCGTAAATGTCAAGGACTCAGAGTTGTTGTTATTGTCTAAATAAGGCAGATCGTGTAAATCATTTTCCTCTTGCACAGCTCAACGTGCGTTTGTCACGAAATTCCACATTTGCACATTTTGTAATTTGAGTGAGCGTTGTTACTTTTATTGAAGTAAAAATTTGTCTTCCACTCTATGCAGACAGTTTTGGCTTCAATCGTGCCAGCAAAGTTCCAGTCAGTTATTTTGTAGAAACTGTGCAACCCCAGTACAAAGCACCTTGAGGCAGCTGTTGTTCTGATTTGGCACTATATAAATAAAATTGAACTGAATGGACATTTGTAGGGATGCATCCTTAAATGTAAGGCCGAACAACGTGCCCATATAAAAGAGAATCTGTATTGTTTTTAACACATGCTGTGAATGGAAGAATGAATAAGTTACAACAGTGATTTATGTGATCTATAGTGTAGGGATTTGTTTCGTTTGGTTTTATATGTCTTTGCAAAAAGAAACCACGATGTAGTGGAAATGCAGGAACTGCAGGTAACTGTCACTGAACTTCCTTGTTTGTCGAAGGATGCTATGTTTTTGTTCTATATCTGAAGTAAAAACTGTTACCATTTACATAGACTGAGTGCAGAATTTTACAATAATCATCCAGACAGTCCTGTACAAACCAGAAAAATGATCTTTTCATTCTTTTGCAGTAAATAACTTTTAAGAAAAGTTGAATTAACTACCACTTATCCGTTTATTAACAATGCAAATTAAAATTTGTTACAATAAAGGTTAACTTAGTTGTGAAACAGCACAGAGAATGACTGCTGTGATTTGTTAACCTTTAGCCTCCATCCTGGCTCGGAACGTATCCACACGCTCCTGTCCCCCACGGACCAGCCCCCCCTCGGACCTGGAGGAAGAGGATGAAGGGAGCAGTGACCGTGGGTCAGTAACCCTCTGTTATGTCATACCAGTGTTCCAGTTTTCCTCCTGCTTGCCTCTTTTCCTCTCTTATTCCCTGCATGCTATAGGATAAATTGGAGCCATGAAGCATGTCGCCTGTCAGATCTCATTAAAATTTGTGATGCAGACAGATGAAGACGGCACTTTCTCATATGTTGGGCTTTTTTGAAGTGCTGCTTCATGTTAGGGGTGATGATGTGTTTGACTGTTTTGCAGGGAGCGTAAAACAGTGGGGATGAAGCTGGTGAAAAAGAAACCACGGAGACGACACACTGATGTAAGATGTTATGCAAACACTTTAACACATGCTGTGTTCTTGGAAGGAATCCAGGAAGATTATATGATATAGACAAAGAGTTGTTAAATACAGCAGCTGCCATTTTTCTCTGTACCAAGATATGGCGTGACAGCACCTTCTAGGCTGTTCTTTGTCTGAGCCAGGCAGTGTAGTATGAAGGAGCCCCCCTGTGGCTCTGCTGAGAGCCTGCATACAGCCGGACAGCCCGTCCCACCTGTGTAAACTCACAGTCCCTCTGTTCTTCCTGCAGGACCCCAGTAAGGAGTGCTTCAGCCTCAAGTTTGACCTCAATGTGGACATAAAAACAGAAATTGTACCTGCTATGAAAAAGAAGACACTGCGGTGAGCATTGTGTTAAAAACTGAATTAAAAAGTTTTTAAAAACAGTTTATATGATAGTTACATTTTATTTCTCTTCGTCACGTCTTACCAGAGAGGTTCTAGGTCCTGTGTTTGAAAGGAATGGCATTGAGTTGTCCCGGGTGGACTTGTTCCTCGATCAGTCTAACACGCCACTGTCCCTCAACTTCGAGGCCTACCGTTTTGGAGGACACTACCTCAAAGTGAAAGGTAAAACCAAACAAGTACTTAAGTGATGTCAAATTATGAGTCACGATTCGTACAAATAGCGCTTGTGGCTGATTTATCGCTGTCGACTGTTGCAGAAGATGAAACAACTTCTCAGCAATGAAATCTTTTTAGATATGCAAGACTAAAATTTATGGCTGTGTTTTATTACAAAGAGAAACTGGCCTGAACACAGAGCGAGTTTAAGGGCAGATGAAGGTTCAGGAAGAGCAGTGAAGAATATGGTATTCAATTATCAGATTCATTTTGAAGATCCTCTACAAAAACCCACTAATCATCAGCACGACAGAGGCCAAAAGAGCAATACTGTAATTTTTCCACATCATATTTCCTGTGACCCCCTCACACGAATCCTGAGTATACGTTTCCCCATAAAGACACAGAAGCTTTATTTCACTGTGATATGACTGAAGCAACCAAAATCCATCGTGTACAATACTTTTAAAATCCTAATCAGTAAAAATTTTGTCCCAGGTTGATTTATTTTTTGTAATAACCCAATAATAAGCAGAACAAAGTCAAATGTTGCCAAATGTCTCCCCTTTAATTGCAGAAAATGCATTCTTTTGATGCATTTTGCAGCCCTTCACCTGTAAATGACTATTGAATTTTGTCTCAAATTCATGAGCTGATCGCATGAGATTCGGTAAAACAAATAAAGATCATGCAAATCTCATCAACAACAAATCAAATTATTTCCCCTTTTCTTTAAAATAGCTGACATAACTGCAGGTCCGCAGCTTGTTTAGGATATTTTTTTGGTCAGTTATTCAGTTGCTGGACAAAAAAAAGACTGTAAGAAACCTCTTTAAATCAATTTCAATAGCACAATGAAATGGCCCACAGGAAAAGTGGAGCTTTTGTTGTTTTTCCTAGAAACCGAGCAGTCTCGTCCTCGGCAGCAGCATTTTAGACGTTGCACTGTTCTTACCTCTGTGCCTCTTTAACAATGGTTAATCGAGACGAATGAGGCTGGCCAGTTTCCTCTCACACCCGTGTTTCTGACAAGCAGGAAAAAGGAGTGGACTGCGTCTTTTGTAATATACTAGTGATTAAAACTACACGTGGAAACTGTGTCACTGATCTGTTCAATCTTGTTCCAAAAGTCTCATGAAAATTCTCACTAATTTCACTGACTAAACAGCGATATGAGTCTTTAGACTTTCCCTAATTTTTTCCAGGGTGGAAACTGGGTGAAATGGCTCCTTCTCCGCTGTTTCGCTTTTAGATGAAAGGCCCATTAGAGCCGCTCATAATGAGATCCAGTACCACGAGTAATTGCTCTTCTTTGAAATTATCCCCTCCCACTCTCTCACCTCTTGACCACAGACTGGAGTTACATACAGTCTCAAAAATATACAGAGGTCAAAGGTAAACAGTTCACAGCTGTTCGGTCGCATGAAGTCTGAGAATCTATGTTGTTCTGCTCTAGTCTGTTCTGGTCCTGTAAACACTTGAAGTTAAATCACGGTCTCTCCTGAGCTTTAACATGAATTTAGTTAGAACTAGTTTTAGGTTTTCTCTTTAATTGAGCACTTTCACCAGGGATATTTGTTTTTGTTGCATGATTTCTAAGATATTTACCTGAAAGGTGAGAAGTTTCCACTGCCCCAAAGTGACCCAAAAACACACCACTGCAGGTTTAATTTAAGCCCAACATTTGATTTGTATTAACCCGTCTACTGTGTTTTTAAGAGGCTGTAAAAATGTAAGAAAAACCATCACACCCCATTCTGTTGGGTGCTGGTCGGAGTTCAAAAAAAGTCCAAACTCAGAACAAAAGTCAGTTTGAGGAGAAAACTCTTTGGCATTTTTTCTGCTATAAAAGATAAATAATGACTTAAGACTTTTCCAGTATTTCTTCCACACAGCTTGACCTTTTTTTTTTTTTTTTTTTTTTTGTGTGTGTGTAGCTCGGCCAGGCGATGAGCTGAAGGTGGAGCAGGGCGTGAAGGACTTGCGGTCTCTCAGCCTGCCCAACATGAAGCCGCCTGGAGTCCAGAGCCCCTACATCCTCGCGCCAGGCAGTGAGAAGGTGGAGCATGGATCTCTCGGACGCCGCGAAAGCATTGATCTGTTGGTGAGTTACGTTTGGGACAAACGGGTTAATTTTTGAAAACGATTAGATTCGAACACCACCTCTGTGAACAACACTTTGCACATAGACACGCCCTTCATCCTTTTTTTGGTTTTGTTTTTGCGCCACAAGCTTTATCATTTTCCATATCACCTGTTTCTGTTGTCCATGGGCTCCTCCTCCTAGTATCTCATCATGATCTCATTATGACCTCATTGTCTTCCATTAGCGTTATCGGCACTGCAGAATCTTGGGCATCTATTTGAGCCTTCTGCCAGACTCAAATCTTCTGCCAGCTCTTCGTGCATCTATGAGCACACACGCATGCATGTGCATGCCGCGTCGTACTGCCGACTGAACCTTTGAATCTCACATGATGATGAGTCATTCAGGAACTCTCTCTGCTATACTTCAGCTCTTCCTGCAGCACCAGGAAGCGCCTGTTTTGTTACTGATGAGTGATGCTAAAAGGCCAATAGAGGCTTGCAGGATCCCGATCCACTTGGCTGCCAAACACGCAGCTTGGAAATGGTGCAGACGGTCATCGGGTTCAAGTTGTGGCAAATAATGTGCTCGCTGTAGCTCTCGAAACAGTTTTCAGCATGCAAACTTTGATTTTTAGCACAAATAGACATTAGTCAGGCTTTAGCACTGGCACTGTATCTAATCCTCCCTTAATCTGTGAAATGTTTTTGATTATTGCTTGAAACACTGTTTAGTCTGTAAAAAATCATGAAAAATGTTCCTAACAGCTTCCCAGAACGCAATATAATGTAATCAGATAGCGACGCTGCTCACTAAACACCCACCCGTGCAATGTTGTGACATGTCCCAAACTTTCGATATACTTCACAATAACAGTAGCAGATTTTTCTCCCTGAACCTTTTGGATTTTTTGAAACAATGGGCTTTTCATTTCAGGCAAAGTCAGGCTATTATTTCTAATTGCAACCACAGATTTTTGCCACGTGAAACAACTGTCTGTTGCAAATTAGCTTAGCTCCATGTCTCTGTTTGGAAAGCTTGTCTTGTTCTGAATTTAGAGCTGACTGATCATCAATTAAGGGTCTTGTTCTTAAAAGACAAGTACCAACACGTTCTGTCTGGAGCTTCTGCAGAGAAGAGTAAAGGTCCCCAAATCCCATAAAGAGCTGAGTTGTGTTAAACTGTGATTGCATGCAGACGCTGCTTAAAAATGTGGGAATGCCTTGAGTGGATGTGACGGTCACGAATGACATTTTTAAAACAAAAAAGGTTATTTGGGTGAGAGGTCAGCGGCCTATTTTGTCTGTCCAATAGTCTGAAAATTATAAGTATATTAAGATATACACACTGGCTACTTTATTAGGTACACTTTGCTAGTGTAGTAGTTTCACATGATTTGAGTTTTGCGACATGTTGTGTTACAATGTTGGAAGCAGCCATCAGCAGAATGGATGCACTGTGGTCATAAAGGGATGGACATGATCAGCAACAATGATCAGGTAGTATTTCAATTGGTACCAAACTGTGCCACTTTGGTGAGCCTGTGTGAATTTTTGCCTCACTATCCTGTTCTTAGCTGACGGGAGTGGCACCTGGTGCGGACTGAAGCTGATTCAGCTTCACTCGCACCTCGGGGAGTGGTTGAAGCAAGATGGCGCCTGTGTTTGGCTTTGCCGCTTGTGCCGCTAGTACAGCTCGCTGATATAGTTTTATACTGGCCGCTATTGTCACTTGCAATATTACTTTTAACGTCCTGTGTTTTCATTTTGTCTCTGCCACCAATACTTATGATCGGGGCACACTGTTGTATATCAAAGATTCAATGGAGAGCTACTTTGACAGCTGGGACAGTTACAGAAAATTTTTCCCTCCAACCTTTGTGTGTTCCTCACCTGAGTGCATGTTACCGTACATATCGGTGGGATTTAACACGAAGAAAAGAAGAAGTAGGGGAACCAGGGCCGGTGTCCAGGTGCGACTGAGAAGGTACCGAAGATTAGCTTCTTGGATGTGGGAAGATTCCCGGTGCTTACGACCAAAGAGAAGATCTCATATCACTCAAGTTTTGGCCTCCCTTCACTGTTAAATTTTAGTTCTAACCTTTAGGGCCCTACATGGTCAAGCTCCTCAATATTTATCTGACCTGCTGAAACCACATTCATCTTCTCGGGCTTTAAGGTCATTAGATCAGAGACTGCTGGTGGTACCGCCCACTCGTGTTAAAACTCGTGGTGATCGGGCCTTTCAGACTGCGGCACCGCGGTTGTGGAATTCTCTTCCACTGTCTCTTCACTGCACGGACTCCATTGATTCTTTTAAAAAACAGCTGAAGAAAAGCATTTGATTAATTTCCTCTTATGCTGTTTTTATAGTTTTATATAGTTTTATTTGCTGTTTTATTTACTGTTATATTGTTTTATATTTCCATTTCCTGTGTTCTAAAGCACTTAGTGATTTTTTTTTTTTTTTTTTAATCTGTGAAAAGCGCTATATAAATAAATTTTACTTACTTACTTACCTTTCTTGTAATGAGCGGTTATTTGATTTACTCTCAATACTTGATCAGCTCAGTTTGGTCATCCTGCTGGCCTCTGGCATCAACAAGGAATTTTCAGAAAAGTTGCACTTGTTTTTGTGCGTTGAGTTGCTGCCATGTGATTGGCTGATCAGATATTTCTGTATATGTCTGTATGACTGAAACTGTAATCGGCATCATCTGGTGCAGTATCTGGTTGCGCTGCCTTGATTTGCTCTTAAAAGTGAAAATAACACAATTAAATAAGATTTTCTAGATGATGCTATTTAGAAAAAAAAAACTTATTATAAGCAGTCTCTCCATAACATTGCTTTGACTGATGTTCTGAACAACATAGTATGAGTGGTGACTTGTATTGTCGTGTTTGCTTGTTTGTTATAAGCAGATATTCAAGTTTTCCCATAATCTGGTCATCACTTTCCAGTCTAGTAGCATGTCTTTGTGTACTGGTTGAGAGTAACCCCGTATCCTGAACCAGTGTAGTAAGATTTGTCACATACTACTTGTACTGTAGTTTACATTTGTAGTTTTCTCAAGTTCAGTCAGTTTTGCTTTGTCAGATGTCATTTAAGTTGCGTCAAACATTGGTTGCTAATCATCCCAGAGGCAAGTCGGCACGTCGAGTTTGATTGTGTGTGTTCGTATACGCGCTGTGAGCAGATGTCATTGTTGCCTTGGGCAGCAGAACGGGTAGAGGCTTGGTTAAAGCATTTTATGGGTAATCTGTGAAGGTAAGTCATGAAGACGAGTCATCAAGCTGTGAAATAAACACTGGAGGTTGCTCAGGAACCCAGTTTTAGTCATACAGTCTGACCTGTTGCACAGTGGAATATTTTGCGTTCTTTACAGGACTCTTACTACTGAGCTTCAGTACCCACAGTGCTGGCTCATGCTCGTCGGCCTTATTTACGCTGAATTTGAAAGAGTAATGAGAGTGACAACCCCAGTGCAGTCCTCATGGTGGCAGTAAAGTGCATAGCTCTACCAGAAGACACAGTAGTTTATCTCAAAATGTTAAGACACTCCTCTTGAGTAGTGGAAAAAGTGTTTAGAAACTTTAGAAAAAGTTTGTTTTTTTTAATCGGCATGACTATATGGGAATTTCTTTATTTAAATTTTATAATAGGTACCAAAAGGAAAACCTTTCACATGAGGGACAAAAATGAAAACTGACCCTGAATGACTCTGACCTTCAGCCCCTTGGGCAGAACTTTCAAATTAAAAACAGACCTGAGTCTGTAATGGAAATCCCTGAATGGCGTCAGAAGCACATCTGAAAAGCATTGTCAGTGAACACAAATTCTTGGTGTACCTAGAGTTCACAGTTCAGACTTCACTATGCAGAGAAAAAAAGTGTATAAACAAGATCATCTTATCTGGGTCCAAGCTGGTGTAAAATAGACCGAGGTTTTTAGAAATCACGGGCGCCACGACCTGTGGGCTAAAGAGCAAAGGTGGTGAAGGTGGATGGCCATCTAGTTGTGTTGATATGGGGGTTTATCACTGTATCACCTGCACACGTGTAACGGTAACACTGATGCTGAAAATTGTAATATATACAGTTCTGAGAAAAATGTTGTTCAGACGTTTTTAGACCTGGCAAAACCACAATGATGCCATTCGATGCATTATCAAAGGAACAATATGGCGAAGCTGACGCCAGCCTGCTGAGAAACTGAAATCTTATATTTAGCAGGAATGCTGAGAAATCAGTTTCAGATTTGCATGAACTGGTTTCCTCATTTCCCAAATGCTAAAACACAATGATGCAACAGAGTGGTCAGCATTTCCTCATCTTTCCTAACAGTTCTGACACGGCATCACGAGTTCTATTTTCTGGAAATGGGAAGCCAGTTTAATGATTTAGAAGAAAGGGAAGAAACCCTGTGATTCACTTTGGTTAGTGGCCCGTATTTTATGTCAGCTGTAGCTTGGAACTTTGTTTGAGCACTGAGGAGCCTCTTTGTGTCTCTGTGATAGCAGTTTTGGCACTAACTGTTCAACGCACGCATATCTGAGTGTGGAACGACATCAGCTTGTGGCCAAACCCTGTCCCTTCTCGACAGAATTAACCCTTTTGTCTAAATGAGGCGTTTCATGTTTATTATCACATGGTTCCTATATTATGGTTCCTGGCACTTTTGTGATAGGCTAGAAATAGCTTTCGTGATTGAGAATGATTGTTTTATGATGCTGATTATGAAAGATGCAATCCAGCCCTGCTGATAGTTTCCATATAGCCCTGTATGCAACCTCTGCGATGCACTTAATTGCACCATTTGCCAGTTATTTCTCCCTTTGTACCTTTTGCACCACATCCCCTTTGATTAAGGGTGCCTTCTGACCTGCAGAAGACCTGAGGTCCAGCTAATTCATTTGTGTTTATAAGGGTTGTTTGTTTGGTTTTTTTGTTGATCAACTGTAGTTACATAATTTTATTAAGTTCAAATCTCTGGAAGCTGAGACCCTTCTCCATTTATTT